TTAATTTATGTATAGACAATACTGCTGATTACTTTATGTATAGACAATACTGCCGGTTACTTTAGTATAGACAATACTGCCGGTTACTTTATGTATAGACAATACTGCCGGTTACTTTATGTATAGAAAAGATTGCTGGTTACTTGATGTATAGACAATACTGCCGGTTACTTTATGTATAGACAATACTGTCGGTTACTTGATGTATAGACAATACTGCCGGTTACTTTATGTATAGACAATACTGTCGGTTACTTTATGTATAGACAATACTGCCGATTACATTATGTATAGACAATATTGCCGGTTAATTTATGTATAGACAATACTGCTGATTACTTTATGTATAGACAATACTGCCGGTTACTTTAGTATAGACAATACTGCCGGTTACTTTATGTATAGACAATACTGCCGGTTACATTATGTATATGTATAGACAATACTGCTGATTACTTTATGTATAGACAATACTGCCGGTTACTTTATGTATAGACAATACTGCCGGTTACTTTAGTATAGACAATACTGCCGGTTACTTTATGTATAGACAATACTGCCGGTTACTTTATGTATAGAAAAGATTGCTGGTTACTTGATGTATAGACAATACTGCCGGTTACTTTATGTATAGACAATACTGTCGGTTACTTGATGTATAGACAATACTGCCGGTTACTTTATGTATAGACAATACTGTCGGTTACTTTATGTATAGACAATACTGCCGATTACATTATGTATAGACAATATTGCCGGTTAATTTATGTATAGACAATACTGCTGATTACTTTATGTATAGACAATACTGCCGGTTACTTTAGTATAGACAATACTGCCGGTTACTTTATGTATAGACAATACTGCCGGTTACATTATGTATATGTATAGACAATACTGCTGATTACTTTATGTATAGACAATACTGCCGGTTACTTTATGTATAGACAATACTGCCGGTTACTTTAGTATAGACAATACTGCCGGTTACTTTATGTATAGACAATACTGCCGGTTACTTTATGTATAGAAAAGATTGCTGGTTACTTGATGTATAGACAATACTGCCGGTTACTTTATGTATAGACAATACTGTCGGTTACTTGATGTATAGACAATACTGCCGGTTACTTTATGTATAGACAATACTGTCGGTTACTTTATGTATAGACAATACTGCCGATTACATTATGTATAGACAATATTGCCGGTTAATTTATGTATAGACAATACTGCTGATTACTTTATGTATAGACAATACTGCCGGTTACTTTAGTATAGACAATACTGCCGGTTACTTTATGTATAGACAATACTGCCGGTTACATTATGTATATGTATAGACAATACTGCTGATTACTTTATGTATAGACAATACTGCCGGTTACTTTATGTATAGACAATACTGCCGGTTACATTATGTATTGACAATACTGCCGGTTACATTATGTATAGACAATACTGCCGGTTACATTATGTATAGACAGTACTGCCGGTTACTTTATGTATAGACAATACTGCCGGTTACTTTATGTATATACAATACTGCCGGTTACATTATGTATAGACAATACTGCCGGTTACATTATGTATAGACAATACTGCCTGTTATTTTCCTTCGTTTGTTCATTTTCCTTTTTTCTATTTTCAATAAAATGCGATACGGGTTTCTTTTTTCGTGTACTAAAGATTGCTGACGAGACTCTTGAATTTGAGATCAGTTCTAAATGTGAGAATACGTGAAGATGAATTAGATTTTTTAATTTTTTTATTCTTTTAATTTATTTTAACAGGTATGTTTATCCATATATTACAGTTTTAGATTGATTCACACGCTGCGAGATATCTTTTACCTCAGACCTATACACCATGAGGTTTGGCAGCTTTTATCAGAAAATTTTCATATATACTTCATTTATTTCGTAACATCATTAACCAAAAAATGTTATTGAATATTTATATCAAAATTAATCTTTTTTTCACATTTGATCAGAGGGTGATAATATCTAGAATATTAGTTTCAATCGAACATTTGAAGTGTGATATCCAGAAAGACAATGCCGATAATTAACTGAGCAGATGATATGTAAAATCGGATTACATAAGTCATCGTGTTAGCGAAGTAAGGTTAAAAACGAGGACAGCGTCACAATTTGTGAACCCAGTTTATCATAATGTGTTTATGTCAGATGATATGGTAAAATTTTATACCCTTACTAACGGTTACATGAAGATGACCAGTCGATGTTGACGTCACAGCTCATTACTGTTCTCATTACTGTTCGGTTGTTGTTGTTGTTGTTGTTGTTGTTGTTGTTGTTGTTGTTGTTGTTGTTGTTGTTGTTGTTGTTGTTGTTGTTGTTGTTGTTGTTAAAATAAATAAAGATTCGTTATTTAATGATTTATTTTTATAGATATCAATGATAGAAGGTATAACAAAACATTTGTTGACCGGCTTTTGGTCAGCATGTGTTATGTTGAACACTCGGACCAAACTGTTCTCTGGTTCAACAGAAGAGTTTTACATGTCTAAATGTCTGAAAATGTGAGGACAAAATGAAAGGGAAGCAGCCATTTTGTTACATAACTTTTAATTCATGACGTAAAGTCATTGTCCTTATTGTGGCATTGCCACTGATTTCTGATTGGTACAGCCAATGAAAAACGCTCAAGGGTATATTACACTTGTGACATGATTTTCAAAAAATACTACAAGGGGGACACACTGGATAACAGGCTGAAAAGTGTATGTTCAAAGAACGGGTCTTGGTTGTAAAAGATTAGGAACGTTTCTCTACTCAAGACTTCAATGTTGAACAAATCTCACCTAGCCCCAGAAAAAAAATTAGCAGCTTTTTTTTACCTCGTCATTCGACCGATGTGATTATACTAGTAATATGATTGGGTAAATATAGAACTGTTATAATCTGGATATTCAGCTAGGTTGTTGTCAGAAAGATCATGTCCAAGTTCTTCAAGCACGTGGTTGCCTTACACATTGTTGAAATGTAATACTAATCTGTTGGAACCATGTAGTTTTTGGAGCAACGTTGCATCATTCCGTTATCGATTTAAGAGTCACGACTATTCGTACTACAATGAACGAAACAACAATAAGAGCCATTTTATGCCTGGGAGACTGGTCCTACGTATTTGCGAACCTGAATGAATACGTTGTATTGATTAGCGTGAATCATGACGACATTGATTCTTTCAGTCACTGACACCACACTTGTCGTCATCAAGTCATTTATAGCTTTGTGATTACAAAAGATTGTCCTACTTGATTCTATCCTATTTTATCACATGTCCTAAATAACCCGTATTCAATTGAGGCAAGCACTTTGCTTTCTTCCTCTGCATATTTCATTTCTTGTGTCGGGGATGGGAGATTAAGTGAAGTAAAGACCTGTCAACACACAAGGATGAAATCACCACATGATCTACACAGAGACAACATATACTATCTCATCAACACACAAGGATGAAATCACCACATGATCTACCCAGAGACAACATATACTATCTCATCAACACACAAGGACGAAATCACCACAGGATCTACACAGAGAGACATATTCTATCTCATCAACACACAAGGACGAAATCACCACATGATCTTCACAGAGACAACATATTCTATCTCATCAACACACGAGGACGAAACCACCACAGTATCTACACAGAGAGACATATAATATCTCATTAACACGCAAAAACAGTGTCTACACACAAAGACAACATATACTATCTCATCAACACGCAAGGACGAAATCACCACAGTATCTACACAGAGAGACATATACTATCTCATTAACACGCAAGGACGAAATAAAAACAGTATCTACACAGAGACAACATATTCTATCTCATCAACACACAAGGACGAAAACAAGAGGAGAAAATTCAACCCAGCAGGTAGGTCCATTGCACCTAAGTAATTTGAAGTGGACGTCCGTTTTGGACTTTTACAACTTAACACTTGCTAAATTTTGGCCACTTACGACGCAAATCTAGTGAAGTGGATACTACAACTTAAAACGTCCAAAAAACGGGGAAGAGTTTTGGGGCATTTCAACTTAAAACGTCCAAAAAACGGGGAAGAGTTTTGGGGAATTTCAATTTAAAACGTCCATTTGGGTGTTCAAATCATAGCCACAACATAATCGATATTGAAACTTTAATGTTTATATAAGTTTATATATATATTTTTTTAAATTTTTTTTTTCAATATGGTCAGCATGGGTTTATGAGTGTGAAAATATTTCATATCTTGTTTTTGTATTAAAAACTGAATGAAATTATACGAAGAGGCGTGTTTTTTACACCAATAAAAACCTCATTTTCAAGATTATTTGTCTAAGTAGTTCATTTTTAGTAATATTAATGTGAAAAAAAAATTTTTCACGGTGTCTACAATCATAGACCAAAATCAACCACAGCGTTTCTAAACACATGGACCAAACACAATCACAGCGTCTACACACATAGATCAGTCATTCAATTTCCGTGTGTATACAAAAAATGAAAATCAACAAAGAGCAGACTCGAGAGAAAATATATCTATATAGAACAACGAAACACAAGATATGTTAATATTGAGAAATATGAAGATATTATACCGTTCGTTATCAAAATTGATATGTATTGAAAAATCCTTTAGCAATAAACCGAAAGGACAGTAAAGTACCAGCGTTCTTTTAAACCAGTCAAATGAGAGGAAGCTGACATAGGCACTATCAATCAATTTTATTGTTGACATGATTAAATATATACATTTTACAACAATAGAGAAAAATGTTATATCAGTGTGTATAAATCACACTTGTTGGACCCGACAGAAGCGATAGAAGTTATAACCATTGATACGAGAGAAAGATTTCTCGGTAAGATTGTTCTGCAGACACTGTGTTGGAATATTGGTCAATTATATCCTCACAGCAAAGAGAAAAGTTTGTTTTGTGACATAAATGTTTTGTATAACGGTAAGTTATTGGGAATCAAACTTCAGTACTATACTCGTCTATAGTATCATAACTAGCACTAGTCAGAAACACTTCATCTGGTGGAGGAGGCGAATTTTCTATCCTCTTTGGTACGGATGCTTTCTTCCTGAAATGAGAAAAAAGATATTCTACACTTAGGCTGGATGTACTTCTATACACCTTTAGATGTACAAATACATGAGTAAGGGGAAAGACACTAATAAACCACGAATACTGCGAAAATACTGAAAAACCACGGGTACTGAGGAGACACTGATAGACCACAGTGCTGAGGAGACAATGATAGACCACAGTACTGAGGAGACACTGATAGACCACAGTACTGAGGAGACAATGATAGACCACAGTACTGAGGAGACACTGATAGACCACAGTACTGAGGAGACACTGACAGACCACAGTACTGAGGAGACACTGACAGACCAGTGCTGAGGAGACACTGATAGACCACAGTACTGAGGAGACACTGACAGACCACAGTACTGAGGAGACACTGACAGACCAGTGCTGAGGAGACACTGATAGACCTCAGTGCTGAGGAGACAATGATAGACCACAGTACTGAGGAGACAAGTGACAATGATAGACCACAGTGAGGAGACAATGATAGACCACAGTGCTGAGGAGACAATGATAGACCACAGTACTGAGGAGACAGTGATAGACCACAGTACTGAGGAGACAGTGATAGACCACGGGTACTGAGGAGACACTGATAGACCACAGTGCTGAGGAGACACTGATAGACCACAGTGCTGAGGAGACACTGATAGACCACAGTGCTGAGGAGACAATGATAGACCACAGTGCTGAGGAGACAATGATAGACCACAGTGCTGAGGAGACTGAGGAGTCAATGACAGACCACGGGTACTGAGGAGTCAATGACAGACCACAGTGCTGAGGAGACACTGATAAACCACGGGTACTGAGGAGACACTGATAGACCACAGTGCTAAGGAGACAATGATAGACCTCAGTGCTGAAGAGGTACTGATGAAAAATAGGTTTTGAATACACTTTGATATGTTTACATTACCAAGATAAGTAAATAGATAAAAATGTTACTTAAATATTATGAATAAATTTATCAATGTTATCATTTTAAAAATTAATCATTTCAAGTTCTTTTTACGTTTTCTTTCATAGTCGAAATATGTGTATCGTCTGATATTCGCATTTTATTAAGCGAACCTGTTTATTTGAAGACGGTCTGTATATTACATACAGATAATGTACACAACGAGGTGTGGTAGAGAAGTTCGCACTCAAGCATGATATGATGTACAGTGAGGTATATCTCCTCTTCATGTAACGATACCATAGTATAACCCACATCATATTTATAAAGTGTCACCAGGAAATATAGTGCTCGTAAGGAAAATGAGAGAGAGAGAGAGACAGAGACAGAGACAGAGAGAGAGACAGAGAGACAGAGAGAGAGACAGAGAGACAGAGAGAGAGAGAGAGAGAGAGAGAGAGAGAGAGAGAGAGAGAGAGAGAGAGAGAGAGAGAGAGACACAGAGAGAGAGAGAGAGAGAGAGAGAGAGGGAGAGAGGGAGAGACAGAGAGAAGACAGAGAGAGAGAGAAGAGAAAAGAGAGAGAGAGAGATATAGGGGGAAGGGGATAGATATGTTTACGACTGACGATTTACAAAATAAGGTTATAAAGGAAAACATATTTCTTCAGATTAGTAAGGATTTTCTAATTGGTTATAATATATAACATATCTTTAGAATTTCGTGCTATATCACCACTTAACGTTATGCTCTTAGCTTTGAAGACTACATTGTCTTTATTTCATTTTAATCAAGTAATTGTCCACTATATTACGACACACTATGGTAAGCATCATTGTCTACCTCGTCAGCTGTCCTCAGGCGAATTTGGCACTTACCAGCAAATGACAATTAACACTAAAATGCTAGCAAAACATCTACAAGAGATGAGATCGATTTTCTCTTTTAAGTGTTGTAACGAAAGATCAAGATTCACATTAATATCAATGAACTGAACGAAATGCATAAGGTAACAAAAATTTATTTTGTAATTGAAACTTTTTAAGTTACTGACTGATAATTGCAGCTTTCTTAAATACATTCTTAACGAATTTTGAACATGTTTTAAAAGAGGAATAAATAGATATGTAAGTTACTTTCAAGTCTCTACGAAAAGCCCAGGCCTACCTAGTGCTGCACATGTAATCATAGATATCGTTATCCCACGTTTGTATCATTTTTATAATCACACCCGGGAAATTTTGGAAATTCCAAATGACAAACCGTAATGAAAATAATTCGGAATTCCAACACAGTAAACAAAAGAAAAGCCTTATTCTTAAATTTGATATTAGTAAAACCAAATGCGACATGAACATATTACATATGTATTACAATTGTTTGCCAGATCCGTTTTCATACATTGTAGATGATATCACAATTATACAAACACTTCGTGCAGGTAAATATAAAAAAAGAAAAATTTTACGCCCAACGTGGGGCTCGAACCCACGACCCCGAGATTAAGAGTCTCGTGCTCTACCGACTGAGCTAGCCGGGCACTTATGAAGTGCCATGTTGATGTTATTTATCAACATTGTACCTATTTAATATTGATGAGTTTTTCAAACCACGTTTATTAATGCCTTTGAACTAGTATAAATCCGTCTTTTTGTATTGGCTCTTAAAAAAGATTTATTACAGCATTTCTTGGATCGACAACCCGGTTTTGGTTGAGGAAATAGTATGTTATACGCATGCGCATAACGCTACGGACACTGCGTACGAGTGCTTGGTCTTAATGTACACTGTAAGAAGTAATTAAGGATATATTAAACAACATAATAGAGATATCTTCAATGTTTAGAATTGTTCCAAACTATTAATCTTTAAGTAATTATTAATTTTTGTTGTTAAATGTCCTCAATTTTCTACGTTGTTTCTATTGTACTCTATCGTACCATGTGTAGACAAGGTCAGATTGCACAGCCTGTTTGTGTAACCAACCAAACCCACTCGGTACAGACCATAGAGGGTGTCCTTGCATAGTCTTACGATTCATGATGAATTACAAATTAGAGAATGATAATTTAAGTTTCGTTCACTTTCGCTTTCTGCGGTAATTGAAAGTAATCGTAACTCTTGTAGCATCGAGGATGCTTACGACTTCACTCGCACCTGATGTTTCCTTACAGGTAAAGGGAGATAATCACCACTTCAATTACATTACCAACATTGTCTCTCCGTACTATCCGCCAAACCGATCTCTTAGCTGGTGGCCCTTGAACTAAACAAAAAATATGATAAACCGAAGACAAAATGCGGCTTTGATGAAGGAAATGCTTCCTTTCACGACTGCGCTGCAATTATAACTTATACCGGCCTTATTGCAATTTTATGTCATTTGCTATATTGTGGAACAATGCCGAGGACAATTCATGAATAGAGAGATTTAACGATTACAATGCGAACGTTCTGTTAAGAAGTTTAGTTTCAGCAGTTTAGTGGTTATCCAATGACGATACCGGTAATACCATTACTCTTAGAGTTGCTGGTTGATTTATTCTACAGGAACTAAATAACATCTGTCCTGCAACTGGCACCACCATTGTCGGAATACACCTGACATATATATTTTTACTGTATTCGGCAGTGACGGAAAACAGCTGTATTTTAGCACAAGCGGTAATTTGACAGAACAACTCTCTGAATTAACTTAAATATTACGTCAAGAAATATAAAAAAGTTGTTGAAATAAACGATTTTACATGCTGTAATGAACATATTGATGTATGAAAATTCATAAAATATCCGTTGAAGTTTTGAACTATATTTCTGTGCGGATTATTTACATGGGCGTCCGTCATCAGGAACAACTCGACAACGTTAACACCAGGTAAGCACAGATTGAACAACTCTCTGTAGCCTGATTTTCAATCGATGTTGCAGGATAAATGGAATGCATGGTCAGTGTCTTGCAATACAAGCTTGGAACAAAAAGACAAAAGTGGCGAGCCTTTCTTCACCCTCGTCAAAATATAACTTAACATGAAGATATTGACCATACATTCTCTATCCTGTAAATGGCAGTGTCATTGTCTGAATACACATATGTTTTTGTGCTGTGTTCGGCATTTACGGAAAATAGCTGTATTTTAGCACGTACGTGAATTCGACGGGATAAATTTCCTTTAAAATTACGTTTCACAATAGGAATATCTGTTGAAATAGGTCATTTTGTATGTTGTAATGAACAAATTTATATACCAAAATTCATAAAAATTGTTATATCCGTCGAAGTTTGGAACTGTATTTCGCGGAACAATTGTTTTGGCGCACGTCATCAGGCAAAATTCAGTGTAACGTCAACGTCAGGTAAATAAGGATTGAACAAAAAACTGTTGAAGTTTTTTATTGGCTGATTTGCAATTAATGTTGCAAGATAAATAGAATACATGGTCAGTGTCTTAAAATATAAGCTGTATTTTGGCGAGAGTGAAGTGACAAAAGTGGCGAGCACTTTTGTCTTTCTGTCCCAAGCAAAAATTAATTAGTACAGCTGAGCATGTATTCTCTCTTTAATTGGGTTGCCAATTCCGATGGTAGTATTGTGGGATAATTGAGAAGAGGAGGTCCTTATCAGAAGCGGTAGCGATCGTTACATCATCAAACACATGTCGGCTAATGAAGAGATTTGTGAAAGTGCTAAACTGAGGGCAGTTCAAGCAAAAATTAAAAGTCTCAAAGTTCAAGCTGAACTGAAAGAAGAAAATCTACAACCCAAAAGGCTAAAAAATGGAATCAGGCGGGAAAAAATCGTGACCACAAAAGAAAACTGAAGAAGCTTGAATTAAAGATGGAAAAGGCAAAGATAAATTCTAAACAAAGATAGCTGCTTTTAGACTGAAGCTCCTAAAGCAAGTGAATACAACGAGATATTTCTTTGGTGGTTTACTGCACTATCATTACAGGTAGGATGGACAGACGAAATAAATCTACATCATCTAAGGACCTTGTTAACCGGAGTGTCGAGGACTGAATAGAAAGATTCTACTAAAACAACTTTAAGTGCATGATGGAAAGCTCAATGACGTGACAGCGGTGGATATGGCAACAGGTTATTGGCAGATACTGTGTCCGCATTCAACAGACTCTCAGAAGAAGTGGGTATTTGTAATTGAGTTTGGAAAAGGTCGTTCCAAACTGGTATTAGAAAAACACATGCTCTTTTAGCTAAGATTATGAACAAATTACTGAAGGGTATACTGCATTTGGTGTATGACAAGGCAACTACCAGTAAAGCCATCACAATAAATATCGGTTTGGCGAGGAAGAGCAGTATTTAAAAACACAGAGTAGGAAAAAGTTTCATGCGATGGTTGATTTTCATCTATTGTTACGAAAGGTTGGTATCATCAGAAAAGTAGGACCGCGGTACCGGTATTAGGAAACCCGGATTTTAGTGAACCCTTCACAATACAAAACGAAGCCAGGAGTCATGTTTTTGGAGCTGTTCGCAATCTATTGCATACAGAGAACAACCTGGATGGAATCAGTTCCTGTAAGGTCGTGATACTCGTGCCATAATACTGTAACATGTCTCACGTATATCCCCTGACTCCTGACTCATTTTGGTTTCATGGATATATCTGATTCCTAAGTTACAAATTAGGGAGATTAGCTAATGTGAGAATTTGAAATCTATATAAGTGTATGTTTCGAATGTCTATGGATAGTTGTTACAGGTTGTGTAATCCTACAATAATTACATCGCAACATATAAATGGTTAATTCCTGACACGAGAATAAAACATTTTTGCTTGATCTCTAGATAAATATCTGTGGCAGGTAATGTCATGATCGGACGTCAAAAACAATGATGTCGCCTGGCGTACTCACAGCACTATGAGGAAGTCCCTGATTATGGGAGAATATATAGGTGCAACATAAACAAATCTAGGAGAGAAAAAAATTGCTACCAATGAAGAAAATCTATCGAAAAATGTCCCAAAATTTTGAACTAACAATCGATTTCAAAATGAAAGTATTGTGTTTAAGCCAATTGCCAGTACAGCGAAGTTTTATTAACTTCTGTAGGGAAGAATTTTTTGTAAATATACCTTTGACATGTCATTTTAGATATACACTGTAAAATAATCTCAAATATCGATGTTGGGGAGGTTGTATTATTAATAGCGGATGCTTAACCTTAAATAATATGACGATGTATATTTGCGAGGTGCATTACGTTATCACACGTGCAGATATAAGTGAAATATCTATGTTTATTTGGGTCAAGGTCACAATTTAATTTGTATTTAGATTATACTTGCATGTAAAAAATGTATCGGGAAATTTCGATTGTCTAACGTTTCGCAATAAAAAATACAATACGCATGAAATTATTTCCAGGGAAAAACCAAACCGGCAAAAGCAAATATATAAAGCATGATGTGCTTCCATGCTCATGCATACAGGTAGTGACCTTGACCCTGCGTCGGCTGTGTCCAATCAAAAGTTACTTCTTTTCTGCTATCAGGCTGCGGATTTGCTTCCGTCTCTCCTCGTTGATAGGGTACATCCAGAGAAAGAGGAGAGCAACGAGACAGAAGATGACAGGACCGGGGACGATGAGTAATCGCAGTGCAAGGGCTACGGAAGCTGGCTGGCGACATTCGCCCGTCTGGTAGCCACCTATTCTGTATACAGATAGAAGTGAAATAGAGAATAGCGTTCTTTTATCTGGTCTGATACAGATGTAATGTAATGTGCTTGAAATGTAAATGTGATATGACGTGATTGACAAGTATAAAGAAATGTATTATTCCATATGCTTTACTTTGCAATTAATCATACATTTTTTTGTTGTAAGTGTTGTTCTTTATTCATGTTCGACCCTTTAAATATCTCCCTTTCAAATACATTACTTATCGTTTACAGTTCCATAATCAAAATTACAAAATACATAAATTGTCAATTTTAAACACAGTTTGAACAGACAAGTAAAACATTTAGACGTTAAATGTTCACTACCTTTAGTGAAAGGCAGAAAAGGCCAATGGCTATCCATATCACAATAAAATATATTCATGGTACTTTGTATATACTCACTCTAAAACAATTTGTGAAATCCCTAGGGCCAACCCGGCAGCTAACTTATTAAAGAACACATAAAATGAATAAAATATGGCGTCCTTTCGTTGTCCTGTCTCCAGCATAAATTCATCGAGGACATCAGGAAGCATCGACCTAAAATGGTAAGAATCGTTTCAATGCAGAAGTATGTACCATTTGTGGATTTCTTAAAAACAAAACTTTGAGCGAATCATTTTACTTCGAAGATGGATATAGTAATGACAAAGATATTGTTTATCAAATCAAAGAGGAAAGAATGAAGAATACTGCAGAAGTACTAGCATAAAGTTGTATTTACCATGGTAATAGCAAGGACACGGCGACGCTGAATCCCGCTAGGACCAGTATAACATAATAGACGTAGATATTGTCATTGATATAAAGTTGGGACAGTAGAGTCGGTATAAACATCTGTAATTAAATAAACCACATCGATAATAAACGCCAACTACGTCACAGAGAGCAATAAATATGATTTCAATAAGATTTAAATAATCAATATTATTTTAGCAAAATATTTCAGAATTTTTTTCAGGTTAAATTATTTATATCTATCGTTTCTATGGTGATGTTACAATGTAAGTGTACATCACAATAAGTCATATAACATGAATTAATGCATGAAACAATATACGTAGATATTTATATGGTAAACTGAATAACACGGCAATCACGTGATAAAAAAACCCGTATCTGTTTGATATGTAAACGTATACTTATAACATTTTAAGAAAAATATTTATTACCGTTGTATAAATATCAGAAGTAACACAAAAACACTTACAATTATACCCGTTGCATATGTTGCTTTCTTACCAAATCTCAATAAAACTTTCTGCCATATAGGAATGGATAATATAGACGTCGCCTGTCAAACAGAAATTATTAAACAAACAAGTAAATACGATAAAACCCAGTAATGAAATTTTAAATATTCACTTTACATAATCTTTCCCGTCCTTCTAAGACTCGCCAGTGAGGCAACTGAGAAAAATTAAATTGACCGAAATAAATGTCAGTGTCCAGATAGTGAGGTGTACTAGTTTCTAAACTTAGAAAATTTCTATCTTTTTAAATGTTGAGTGATTTCTGAACCATGACACTATTCAAACGAATAAAAAGTATGTCGTGAAAGTTACTGCAAACCTCGTGTAATACTTACCAAGAGAATAACCATGAATGTGGAGAAATAGTCACCTAAGCCAATAGCATGAGTTGTAAATAGTGCAAGATTTCCTTGTACGACCTGAAACATTACGTCAAAAACCAATGGTTATCATAATCTAATGGGTTGACAATTCCGCGGGAAAAATAATCACAACAGAAAAAAAGTTCTTCTTACATGTTTATTTACAGATCGCGTTGTCTGTAAATTCCAGAACAACACCTGAATTGATTTACCTCAGCAAAGTCTGCCGGAGTCAGCAGTAAATCACATATTTCAGAAACTACCTCAGCCAAATGTGTACACCCTGGAACCGAGGTGCCCATCCCCTATATTTCTCCGCATGACTCACAATGATCTCCCCCTACCACTAAGGTATACGCAAAATCAGATCCACATCAGTGACAGTCCCATTGACCTCAGGTCAAACTGAAAGGCTGCTATCAACAAAGTCCCACTCCCAGTACCTATTTAAGCCTGCGCGAAATAGATTAGGGAAACAAACACAAATTTGACATGTAACAATCATGTTTCCTGTTTGAAATTAATTCCAGTTTTCTGATTTCACTATGGAGGCCTAGAGCTATCTATAAAAATTGATTTTTCCCCTTACATATTACATGTACAATACTCATTGGTATACTGAAATACTGAAAATAATATCTACGTAATATATATGCAGGCATATCACAGAACTGTATTCGTGTTTAAATAATGTCAACATTCCATTATACTTCTTGCTAAAACAATCGGTGATGTTCAAAGAATAGCCAAATGATCACTCCTGACCTAATTAATCATGCCGTCGACCCATATTTGTAGATTCTTCCTGATGAACAGCTGGTCGGACTATGCTGAATCTGTTCATTATTTTGTACTTCATTTCAGTAATATGGCCAATCATGTGTGTTTTTTTAGTGAACGTTTTGATATCAAGATGTTTTTCAGATGGTATGGTCCTCAATGACATTTCCTGAAAATCCGACGGAGTCGTCATTAAATCCCTTTTTTATACAAATTGAATCCTTTCCTTCTGCTGCTACAACCTAACTAGTTGCTGCGATCACACGAACACAAATAGGTATAGGTTCGTATGTCGTATTTATAACACTCAGAAGAACATTTAATTTGTCCACATTAGTCCAAGACGCGAATTATCATCCTAAGGTAAAATGACACTGGCTTCATTTACCGCGATACTCATGCCTCGCTTCGACCGTTGACCATGGCGTGTTCTCTGCTAGTCCTGGCTATCTTGTGAATACTAGTTTATAGAATGTAGCAGTATCAGCATCTATTTAGTTAGTCAGGTAACACCACTACTGCGCTACGGACATTAAGTTGTATTGATGTCAAGAAAGTATGCGACACATTCTTGTCTGTCCACTCAGGAAACATTAATTGCACATGCATTGATAACATTTAACGAGTTCGAAACAAAAATCCAATCCAGAACCGAGCCTGCAAATGAGCCGAGACACAAATTTTGCATAAAAAGAGCTTAACAATACAGTCTGTTTTCTTGTACTCAATAAGTCCTTGTCGTTTGCCATTTTCGTGTCTTGAAATCACTTTTGTATTTAATTTGAATTAATGGTAGTGTTGCTGTGCAGTGGCGTCAGTCGTGATAAGCGGCTTGGTCCAAGGGACACGACTTATCTCACATTACTAGTAAACATCTGAGCAAATGGGATACTATAAAATAAGGCCTGGTCTTACCTCGATTATTTGATGTCCACATGAAAAGAATACTAAGCGATGATCGAAATCACTCCGGTTCCTGATCTTTTACAGCAGATAAACACAATGTAATAAGCTCATCAACCTAGAGTCCATATGGTGATCATTGAAGATGAACCGTTTATAGAAGATTGTACCAAATGAATTAGACTGCATCATACAACTGTTACGTCCTCGGACTCACCACTATATATCAGCGTCTTCCAGCCATTTTTCATTATTCAGCCACACAACATTACTGTTGGTCCTACTTTCACTAGTTCATATATAACCTCGAAGCTGTCACAAATATTGTAACGCGACCGGACACACCCAGAAATATTAAGAATACATCATCAACAGTACAGTTCTATTTGTATGAGTTTATCTACACTTTACACCGTATTGTCTAATAAGTTCACAAAATCTAAGACAATCCATAGCATTTTTTTCCTGCAAAGTATGCCGGAGAAAAACCAACACGTCTGTACTCTCGCATTTCCCTCAATGCCCCACTCTATCCTCCCTACCAACTATATCATTAATAGGTGTACGCAAAGCCAACCCTACAGCAGTGACAGCTCCCTTGACCTAAGGTCAAACTCTCCGGCTAAGTCTTTCGACAGTCTGTCTGCTATGAGCACTGCCTCCTCCCTGTATCAATTAAAGCCGACCCCTTTCCTCCCATGTTTTCCTCTTAATAAATGAATAGAGATATATAAATACTAGTTGATCATTACATGATATTTTGCATTTTAATTTATTTCCATATTTAATAAACCAACAGTTTCTTTGGAACTTCAAAGAACACATCACCAATGATTTTCATTTTTTTCATAATAGATATAATATATTATTCAATATAGTATAGTTATAGTATAGTATACTACATATAAAATAATAAGTTTAAAGTTTTTCTCAGACTTCTGAATAGAAGATTCCATATCGATTCAAAATAGAACTGAAAGTGATAAGTGAGATAAGTCATGTCTCACATTAAGAGGACTGAAACACCTATCTGCTGATGAATCGTTACAAAAACATTCCAGTCAATACTAAAAGGCTCTCTGGCCTTTGAGGTTATCTCATTTCAGGGAGTAAATATTTGATAGGCGATTCGCTTAAGGGGATTAGGGGCAACAAATCTTGACAAATTTACTCCAGAGTAACCTAAAAAACCCTTTAATCGAAGCACAGAGTTTTACAGTCGTGGTCATTACATCTCGTGAAATTGCAGAAATTATGGATTGTTGATATATGTTGGTCAATCTCGCATCAAAAAATAACAGCATGCGTGTAGCAGTGGTAACCTACTTGCCTTTCAACTAAACGACAAGGTTTCAATTTCACAATTGGACATGAAACAGCGACGTGTATCCAACACGCAAAATTACGCAAGTTGAAGGAGGCCGATCATCCGTACAACACGCAACGAAGAATAGCATATTTAGCTTAAGTTGACTATTATGATCGAAAGACTTTTCCTTAATATAAACTGTATAAAATGTGTAAGTGTACTTACTGCTATAGCTAGGGAAATGAAGAGGAAGGCAAAAGATAAACGGACGTATGATTTACAGCCAAGCACCAACTTTAGTCCAGAACAGAATCCCTCATTATTATCTGTGACTATACCTATAGATTAGAAAAAATACCATGCATAGTCATTGTGATTGTAATTTAGCATACGATGAAAACAAAGACAGTCGAGCACTCATTACCTATCCCAATTTATCAGTTATTAGAATGAAAAAAAAAATCTAATTTTGCGATATCTTTACTTTTCATCTCTTTCTTTGGAGACGTCACAATAGAATTAACACATGTTGTTTTGACGTCACAATGAAAACGATAGAAAATTTCAGCCAGTTTTAACTGCGCTAGGTCATATCACACGTGTCATGATTTTTTTCTGCAGTGGATAACCTTACAATGGTAATGGCATTTCAACACAACAAAGCATTTTGTTTCAAACTGTGAATTCTAGAGTGAGGTAAAGAAAAAAGGGTCAAATTTTCTGTGGATGACTTCTGTTTTATTGAAAATGTTGATAAATCTGTTTTATACAATGTTCTCCAATCACTCTTTCACGTATTGTGTGATATTCTTATGAGGCCCTATTATCAATTCAACTATGTTGGCCTGAAAGCGCCGCCCAAAAGGTATACATGTAGTTTAACTTACTATATATCATTAAGCAATCATATTAGGACAGTTTAGGACTGCAACAGTTTTCTTATTATCAATTCAAAATGGTTATCTATAAAACCGATGTAGGCTATACTATTCTATATGTTAAGAAACAATAGGTAATCAAGAACTGCAAATGCCCTGAAAGATCGTTGTTACCAATCTTTCTTAGAAGGAGGTGAAGATGATAGTACTGCACATCAAAAGTAGGCTTGTTACCGAACTCATAGAATATAATGATTACCAGGAATTCAATTGCATTTCTAATGTCATGACTGGGTACTATCTTCATGTTGACTGATGTCGTCGTATGGAGAAAAAACACTGCTCATAACTATCATAATTACAAAGAATATTTTTAATAATAGTCAATAACCTGGTAAATGAAACTAAAAAGCACTAGAGATGGATACCAATGACTGGACTTAAAAAAGGGAGTGAAAACCACATCACAAACCTTGTTTTTCACGCGTGCCAAAAAACACTGTCAAGCAGCAAAACAGATATATGCCAATCATTGCAGCAGACCCGTATATGTACGACAGTTTCTGCAAAAGTAATTCATTCATATTTGAAATGATAAATTAATATAATAAGGAAAACTTATCACATTTCTCAAAGTAATCTCTTTTAATTCGGAAAACTGGATTATACTTAGCAACATAGGATGCTGATTATATCAAACGGCGACTAAGAGTTAATTCCAATTGACACAATGTGATATGTCAAAAATTGAAATGTGTGCTTTCTACGCCACATATATCACGTCATTTCTTTACGTGTAGATAGACCAGAGAATCATGTGACCGGGATGGGCGTGCACCGAGGTGTAACTGATTTACTAGAGAGAAAAATAGGACAGGAAACATTACATAATCTACATCTAGTTGAAAAATCAAATGTCCAGTGCGAAGAAGACAACATAAATAAAACCTGATTTTCGAGCTGTAATGGTGATGCAGTAGCCTTGTCGTCCTTACAATCCCCCGCTATCCGGTATTTATCTATGATTTGTCCCTGTACCAAGGATGCTAACAGCACTCCAATGGCCTCAGACACCATTCCTGAAACCCACGACGAAGATAAAAAATCTGACGATGTGTCTGATTTAATGAAACTGTACAGCAGTAAACCAAATTAATAAGTGAGGAAAAAAGGGAAAATATCTTTGAAAGGTACACATTCCGGCCACGTTGTGTTTTATTTTATCTCGAAATTCGAGATAACAATTCGGAATTTTGAGTTGGCAACTCGAAATTTCGAGTTAGTATAACTCGAAATTTCGGGTTAATATCTCAAAATTTCGGATTACTAACTCAAAATTTCGGATTACTAACTTGAAATTTCGAGTTAAAATAAAACACAACGTGGCCGGAATATGCTTCCGTACTGTCGTCTCTGATTCTTAAGCAAATATATGTTTACATGAGTTACAGCTAACGCAATTAATACATTGCTAGTAGAATGTGCGTGCCACGTTTGAATTCGTACACATATGCTTGACGTTCCTCATTATTTTGCTCTGCTGTATCTAATTCTAAACATCTAAAGATTTGATTCACTTACATGTCTTTTTCACAATCATCAAGAAAAACTAGTACTGTAAGAAGACATGACAAAATGTGCCACAAAGTATAACGACAAAGTTATCCAGAAGGGATGCGAAGTTTGTGATCAGTCTTAATGTGCCTAATCAGACTTTAACTGGAAAGGAATATAGGATTTCACCTCATGAAATAGCTATTGATATTCTGTAATACTGGTCAATTTCATAATGAAGCGTGGAGAAGTATTCATCAGTATGCGATATGAAGCTGGGTATATTTGATGCTCGTTGCTTTGCTTGTTGCTTCCGTTGTTGTATACCTTATTCTCATTTGATATTGTGACATTGCTAAGTTGAATTGACCAAAATTTACCTGGCGGATGTCGTCAGAGAAGCAGAAGACGCTTACTCTTCGGGAACACCTGGTCTTATTTTTCTTGTACTGTGTCAAGATTCTTTCTTTTGTTCAAATATTACCCTGATTTTATTGAAATTGAGTTTTGATTATGATTATGTTTCCGTCTTGGTATTTGTGCATCTTTGTTGAAGTTTCTTTTTTCAGAATTAGCGTAAACATTCTTCAATGTCATAGCTTCTAAAAGGCTCCTTACGGCCATCTTGAATATCCTATATATCTGGAGATGCGGAATAAACAAATAAGACCTTTTATAAACCTTGTGGTAATGCCGATAACAATCATAAAATGCCCAAATGATCACTGATGGCCACTTTGGACACTGCATGAACTCAAAACAGGATATATAATTCAACCTTCATAGTTACAAATTTTCTCTACGTAGATATAAAATAACAGCTGAAATGACCAAAACTAGTTTTCAATGGAATTCTTCCTCGAGTTCATGAGAAAAAATTAGCAAACGTCAAAATAACCGCATGCGGTCATAAGTGCGTTTATGAACACGTGACATGTACAACTGACCCTGATCAATAAGGTACATAACTCTAGAATGAAATAGAAATGTTTACATTTGGACGGATGGACAGACTGACAAAGGACGAAATGCGAAGTCAAGCATCACAAATAGATATTGTGTTCTATATTTGTGGAACGTGATGAAATATTCTACGATGGATGTTTAGACACGAAGGAGTGTGCTGTGGAGTAAATACTTGCTGTAAGCTGTAGCCGAGTCTCTCTCTTTCTGACTGCCAGTAATGTACATGGTGAGGGATGTGTACGGCACGTGGAGACACTGCAATAAAAGAGCTCTTAACATTAGCGTATTTTCTTGTCATGTTGGTTAACCACATATAAATCATTGAAGAAATAGTGTTTTGTTTAAACTCAAGGGAGCATCTATCGCTAACCACAATGATCACAGTCACTTCATCATCTCTGCCACGGAGTACACATTTCGCTTGTAGATCACTAGAACTTGTCACGGATTTCATTGTTGGTCATCAATCATCTCATGGTTATATCAAAATCTTACTGATAAATTACACCAAAAGTTTATTGTAATAATTTATTTGACTAAAACAAATGCTGATTTTATAAAAGATTATTAGAAATCAAATTTAACTGAAGTTAAATATTAAAATTTGAATGATGTAGTGATGGAAAGCATATCAGGAATTTATATCTGTCACATTAAATTGATTAACATTTATTTAGTGTATCAGTTATAATCAAAAGTAGTGTTTAAATTTACAATGTGTCAATCTAAACAATAAAGATTAGGAAAGGAAACGTCAATCATTAAATCTGTGTGATGTTTGCTTGTGGTTTCACAGTGAAACGAAACGAAAGAGAGTTTCAATGGATTCCATTGTAAAGGGTGATTTTACCGGCATATAATCAACTCTCAAACAAAGACAGTCATAAATAAATATAAATTAATTCTCAGATATGATTTTAAAAAATGCTCACTGTTAGAAAACCTTGGAAGAAGCAATAAAAGACAAAGTAATAACCCAGTTTTCCTTCGTCGCTAAGGTCAGGAACAAACCACAAGAAAAAATAGGTTGCACATCCGAAAGGAGTTGAAAACAGTATCCTGCAAAGAAAACGGTGTTTGTGAATAAGTAGGTATAAGGAGATAGGTATGACAGAAAGAAGAAAACAGGGAAGAAAAAACTGATCATAACATACCATGGGCGGAGCTTGCCGAACCTTGTATTAGTGCGACTGACCAGGATTCCTATGATGGGGTCAGTTACAGCGTCCCATGCCTTCCCGCTGAACACGATGACGGAGACGTACAGAGGAGGAATCTATAACATATTCAGCAAAGGACTTACACATACTCTTCGGCAGATAATTAAAAAAGGAACAACAAGGAGATGACATTTCATAGCATATGGATGTGTCGGTTAAGATACAGATAGTTTCGTAATGAATTGGAATTAAAAAGGCTTGCAGGAATACACTTTTCACAGGAATGATTTTGAAAACTTACAGATTTCGATTTTTTGTTCGGTATATATTTTTCTCTAATACAGATAAAATAAACTGTTTTGGAAATTTTAATGATAACATCGTTAGGTCTACCTGTGCCACCTCGAGGAGGAAGATACTGAGGAAGAAGCTGATCACAGTGTTAGTCATTTGATATGGCGCCCCACCAATAGCGAAGCAAACCTTCCTCCATACTGGAAGACGGTCTTCATCCTTGATTTCCTCAACTTCTATAACAAGGGGAATTTTTTCCGGCCCAGACTCCTGAATGTTCGAATAAATCTATCATTAGGACATAATTTGGGTAATTCATTTGTCGAAGCAGTACACATCCTCTAGAAATACTCAGGCAGAAAAATATAAATACACGTACTTACACCATCTTAAAGTATTGTGTCTGTGATTGGGCTGACGAACAGATAGGCATCATAATTCAGTATAACACCTTATAAGTAAAACACAAAGGGTCCTGAATTCAGGATAATGATATACTAAGGTAATCTCAAGGACACGTGTACTCACATATTGGAAGCATTGTATCATGACTATTCCGTGTGATATATGGTCACTGCATCACTGCGACCTCAGTTGTAATATTAGAATTAAGGAAATGTTAAAACAAATATAAAACGAGGTGAACTTCTCACCTTTGACTTATTTCCATATAAATATGTTTCACTGAATCTCTGCCCTTTGATAAGATATGGAAATTTATGCGTGTGAATGTGTTCACAATCAAGTTACAATAATGATAGAACCATCCATGTTAGATGTTTTAATTTACATACAGAACAAATGTCACGTAGGTAGAGCGAGATATATAGATACGATAGGTTCCAATGTTCAGTCCTATATGATATAGAACCAATGATTGATATCGGATGCATTTTTTTATGACATCTAAATAATAAATATTGTCAAAATAATAATAAAAAAAAAATGCGCAAAAGCAATTCAAGACATCTTACAGCGATCATGGCACCCATCTAGATCACATATTGTAAGAATATTTCGGCTTTTCCCTCTAATTTGTTGGGTGGATGGTCATGTCTGAGATATTCACTCATCTTGTAATTCAGTTTGCACGTTATTTTCTTTATGATTAATAATATTGATTATTAGCCTTTTAGATATATGCTAACTCAAACCAATGAATACATGTTGTCATGAAGAGTAAATTTTTATTTACACTTGTCTATGTTCGCCAGTACTTCAACTGCTGTAAGGAATTATTATCCACTACAAACGGCAAATCTTATTTCGTCGGTTCAGAATACACTCGTGAACTTGATACTTATTTCAAATTGTAAAATGTCTTTAAAAAATACCAAATTCAATAAGTTGTAGGGGTAGTGCATCTCCCTATGTGGATTTTGACATATTTGTTCTGGCTCGTTTGGGTACGCTTTGTCGCTACTACCCTGTCGAAACGAGTGGAAATATAATCATCAAATCATTGAATATATAAGCAAAACCCTAAGACTTCACGAGGTAAGAAAGATGTATTCCGTATCCGTTTCTAAATGCTATGATCAATCTAATAACAGCACATTTTGTCATTTTTTCATCACCTGATCTGAAAATATAACATATCGGCAAGTGTTCGGATACTGAATGGCTACTTTATAGCATTTCTCAATATATAGCGCTAGCATAATGAAAGCGTGTGGTAAAATAACCGCACATTTTGGTGATACCCAAAAGTAAATCAAGTAGACAAAGTATCAAAGCATTTACGTCTTCTAACAAGTCACCAGATGTAAAAAGGAGGATAATGAAAACGAATATGAAAAACACTGACGACACCAAGCAAGGAGAATTTCTTCCCTCATGGCTATTTAATGGCTTCTTAATGTTGCCGATCAGCCGCGATGAAAGAAACGGACGCACGACAAAGTCACTACAAACAAACACATAAACAACAAAAAAGATCAGAAAGGTGAACAAGTAACAATATTAGAATAATAAACAAGTCATTTGGAATATAAAACGAGGAACAGACGGATAAACAGACAAACGTACAAAAAAAATCAAATTTCTCGTCTGTAATATTGTACAAAAGACACACGATGGAACAACACCTTTTAATACGAATCTAGAGTTATAAACTGAACCACACGGTTGTTTCGTCCTTATAGGACTCATCAATGATGCCGACGGCCTAAAATTTTAAGCCCATGAGGCGACTGAGGCAAATCCAAAGAGATCAAAAGAAAAGTCGAAAATCTGGACGGGAAGGCGCTCCATAATGTGATCGAATTGAAGTGTACTACCTATATATCATTGATGAGAAAAAAGATAAACAATTATAACATCACTCTTCCCGGTTGAAACGATGAACAAAGTTCGATCTTAGAATACTTAATCTACTGATTCGGTAAAATGTAATATTAATTTATAAATTATAAAACAATATATACTGACACAATGTATACAATATATACTGACACAATGTATTTATTTACATTACGTTTATTTTGACATATCACAAACTTAATTAACTGCTAATGTATCGCACCATCTGTTGTCGACATGACCTAAGTGCCATATTATTTGCAAACTACGAATAATGCTTAATATACATAATATCGTCTTGACGTCCCGTCTTATTTGATAAAGAATGTTCTGAGATATGTAAGATATTTTCAGTTATCTAATAATTTAATCAATAAGGAACACTGATATGTTTTCTCAGCATCATACTTGTTTACAAAATGCTATCTCAAAAAGTCCATCACCCACACATCGCCGTCCAACACATTGTCGAATTTCGCCCGGAAATCCATCAAGCATTCGTATGTTTTGGACAGATGCAGTATACATGAGCAAATCTGTCATTACTATTTCGTTATTACGAGATAATTAGGTTGTACTTAGGAGAAAATTTAGTCGTTGGTACGAGATAAAAAAAATACTTACCGACTTCCGTACTTTTTCTCGAGACATTGGCTGAAATGGAACCTACGGGGGCCTTACAAATACATACATGACTACTTGGGACATGGACTTAAAAAAAGACACTGGTCAATGGGATCTAACCTTCATCTACAGGGCCTCTACAAATACCCATACACTTCCTATTGAGACATGGACTGAAGACTTACTTGGTCAATAGATCACTGTCTGCTAGTAGAGAGCTATCAAATATGTTCCTTTCCAGCCTTTTTGGTGATGAGAAATTTCGTTATTTAGGTATTATGAAAACTTTACACCATAGTTATTATTTATTGAATAGAATAAAGACTTCAAATATCGAGATAACCTGTTCTCTACTCGATAACATTATACTTGTCCTACATAGAGTTATAAATACAAATCGAAACGTGACGATATTAACATATTTTATTTGGCATTTAAACCTCGAAATGTCCGACAAATGTAAGCCTTACGTCAGCACCCGATACTCTTGTTGGTATAGTTGTACACAGCTGATGTGTCAGCAGAATTTCCGACTTCGTTATAACAGTATGTCTATAGTTACAACAAGACATAACATGTGACACAGTCACTATCTAAGTACCGCCGGGAATAAATTACATAGTGTAGACAGTATATAAACTGATTGTGAGTTGTGAGGATATTTAATAATATTGGTTATAGCCCAGATATTTAACCAAATTACCTTGCTTCGGTGTCGATTCATGATCATGTCATGTTGTCCACCCGTCTGTAACCCCTAACAGCTGATGGTCACTAGGACAATATCTAGGTCCAGTGATATCACGTGCTTCAGAATAGCTTCCGTGTTACGGCGATAACTACATGATCCGTACACTGAGGTGATAACGATTGAAACAAATGTTTACAAATAACGAATGAAGAGTGAACAGTACTAAGGACTAGTGATCTTTTTACAAGTACTCACGTGCAACTTGATAAAATAAAGCAAAACAACGGATTTAAGATTGTACAAACTCGTGAATGATACATTTTAAAGCCCCAATATACGTAACATTCACCAAAAATTTAGTGTAGAATCACACATAATTATTGAGATATTCTCTAAGATGTAGTTAAAATTAAGTTATTCAAACAATAGTTACCACGACTTTGTGCATAAAGTATTGATATATGAGCAGTTGAAACCCGCTATTTGTAAACACACCCCCATTTTAAACACGCCGCCATCGAAATTACGATTGTTGCCGAACCACGTCGGAAAGTTCATGACCTGATCTCGCGAGAGTGGAGGTTTATACTTATAGAGAAGCACATGCAGATATGTCTACGGTAAGTTTTTGTTTACAAACATTGTTTGCGAAGTCTTGTCGTAGACTTTAGGTATTCCTGTGATAAACATTCAGTTTTTGGGAAATTATTAGAAGGAATAATTAGTTTAGAAACGATACGACGCACAATTATAACGTAAGACTTCAGAACTGGCCTGATGTATGATTGGGAAAAAAGGAAGCGACTGGTGAACGTCTGTACTGTGTCTGCCATGTTTACACACGCGGAATATGCGCATGCGCAATGTCATCGCTACGAGCGGTATGAATTATTGTGGGTCCCACATTGCTTATTTTCCGATTTTTTCAATTTTTATTTAAATTGAAAACAGTCAGTTTTATTTTATTTAATTAAAGGAAAGTATTTGTTTTGTTACATACATTACGGGGAAAATAAGGTAAAGTTTGTTTTTTTTATGGTGATTTTTACGTATATTGGGGCTTTAATACAAATTTAGATGTAGAGACAGTCTAGGGCTAAGTAATGATTTTTTAAACCTACGAGGCTCAGAAAAAAAATCTAAATTGGTCATAATAAATGTCAATAATATGACACAGAGAAACACTAAACACGACCTTCAATGAATTTGATAATTTTTAATCTTCAAAGACTTCAAAAGAACGTTGAGTATTTGTGTATACTTTGAAGCGTGTCTCCACTCAAATAAATATACAAAAGACCCACAAGTGAATAGACCCTCGTAATACTGAAGAGTTCTAGGGGGGAGGGGGGCAAAACAGCTACACTTTGCAGTTGGATGTTTTATAAGTATATTTAACTTGTATTTCGTGCATTTTGTGTACAATTAGGGTTGATGGGTGGTAAGATATACATTCTCAAAAAAACACACACTGGATGTTCGTGGAATTATCCAAAACAAGATATTAGTGAAAAAAAACAACAAGAAAATGCCATAATGTCAAAATGTAAACTCAAATTCAATAAAAAAAAATAATGGAAAATATGGACAAAAGAAAGAATTACATAGAAACTCCTGGAAAAAAAGACAAGGAAAATAAAGCCAGGTGTTCCGGGGGAATAAGCGTCTTTTGCTTCATCGATGACACTTTCCATGTAAATCTTTGTCAGATAAAGTAAGTATGAACCAACAGGCAAACTAACAAGCATCAAACACATCTAGCATCACGTCACATAAAGAAACAGAATATTTCTATATGACATCACTATGACGACCGTAAAACTTCACCATAATTTTCATCAATTTTTGAAATCATGTTACGAGATTGGCTGCAAGTTGACGACTTCTTGCACGAAAACGTGAAAATGGGCACATGCCTTTGAATATCGAATCAATTGCGACTTTTAAATATCATAGGTTGGGGATGCATGGTCAATGAAAATGGATTATCTTTTCCTTGTGCACCTCTTTCAAGACTAAGCGACATGCTGGGAACACGAAGTACAATTTCCATGGGTTAGGCATGTCACGGGTTGGAACCGATCCAGTAGTCTTCCTGACAATGAGACATTAGGAAGGAAAAGGCATTGGAAAAGAGTCAAGATCCAAATTTTGGGCAGTTTTTCGTTTCTAATGTCATAGAAAAAATAACGGTTGTAGTGTATATGGCTGTATACTGGTGATGAAATGTAGGCAAGTCGAATTCCGGAACATATGCCCGTCTCCGGGTTAGGTGACACCTGTGAAAATTTGTAGAACTTCCGGTGAAAAATAAAATGGAGCACGTGGTTAAATGTGATGTGTGCTGGTCTTCTCTACAATTTTAATTACTTTAAC